GACGACGATTTTAAAGATTTCATAGCAAAAGATACAAGAGTAGGTATTCTTATGTAATGAGGAGGGTTATCGTTAATGTACGACGATTAATTTGCATTGCTCGGTTCCTGTAGAGAGAAATGGAAATGATAGGGGAGGCTGAACTGAAGAGGGTCAAGGAAGGGGAGATTATTCAATTGCAGAGAAAAGGATTTTTCCGATGTGACGTACCGTACGCTGAAGTTAGTGCTTACTCGTCCCGTGAGCAGCCGATAATTCTGTTTCATATTCCCGACGGACATGCTACATCAACTGCACCTCCCGTCCTTCAAGATTCAAAAACTGGCGCTAAAGAATCCAAGAGAGTAAGTCTCAATCGAGCGAATTTATTATTAATGTACGCGTCGAATTTAAAATTTTACACTTTATATAATGATACAATGATATAAAAATAAATTTGAATAATCCAATGTCGAATAATCCAATGTCTAAGCAATGATCGCGATTAAATAAGAAAGTAATTGCTTGACGAAAAGTAAGAAAAGAAATTAATTCGTTATATCAACGATTGATTTTTTTTTTTTTAACACTTTAAACGTATATTTCAATAACAAAAATTGGTAAATAATTTAATTTCATTATTTATAATTCCTATTTTCCGATTGCAAAAATAGAAGAAAACATATCTATTTCAAAATTCAGTCACCAATGAATAATACACAGTTGAACGTCACATTTTAATTAAATAAATTACAGCGCACCAAGCAATTTTTAAACAAGATTATTTATTAAAGTTCTTTAATTAATATTTAAAGCACTCGATGAATATGAAAACATTTTGAAACTCCTTTACGAGCGGAAAATAATTTATGCTGAGAATGTATTTTCAGTTCTTGCCGAGTCTTCAAAATTATTGAATTTCGAAGAAACGAAAGAAAAATAGATCAATTTTCACTTTCTTTTTATACGTCATACGACGATTCGTTCTAATTTCCTTCTGACATTATTTACAATGAATCCAACAAATTATATACACTTTCTTTTTACCTTTTACGCAATTGACATTCGGTCGCTTGCAATACTCGTTTAACACAGTTAAAATTAAAAGATGAAAAAGTTTTTTAATCGAATTATTTTATGTTAAAAAGTGAGTTACTCGCCGACTATTAATATATTTGGTATTTATTCATTTATTATCATTATTAACTTAGGAAACTAAAGTCGATGCATCGGCCGATAATTTAAACGAACAGATAATTGCTCAAGGAAACAAAGTGAGAGATTTGAAAGCTGCAAAAGCTGATAAAGCAACTGTCGATGCAGAAGTAAAGTCGCTTTTAAGCCTCAAAGCAGAATATAAAGCTGCAGCGGGTAAAGATTGGAAGCCAAACTCGACATCCGAAGTGAAACAAGTAAGGGTAATTGGAGCGAGTTACCTCACTCTACGGTAATTATAATGTTTAAGTAACATGAGCTTTTTTTTGCTAATTTAGGAAACTAAAGTCGATGCATCGGCCGATAATTTAAACGAACAGATAATTGCTCAAGGAAACAAAGTGAGAGATTTGAAAGCTGCAAAAGCTGATAAAGCAACTGTCGATGCAGAAGTAAAGTCGCTTTTAAGCCTCAAAGCAGAATATAAAGCTGCAGCGGGTAAAGATTGGAAGCCAAACTCGACATCCGAAGTGAAACAAGTAAGGGTAATTGGAGCGAGTTACCTCACTCTACGGTAATTATAATGTTTAAGTAACATGAGCTTTTTTTTGCTAATTTAGGAAACTAAAGTCGATGCATCGGCCGATAATTTAAACGAACAGATAATTGCTCAAGGAAACAAAGTGAGAGATTTGAAAGCTGCAAAAGCTGATAAAGCAACTGTCGATGCAGAAGTAAAGTCGCTTTTAAGCCTCAAAGCAGAATATAAAGCTGCAGCGGGTAAAGATTGGAAGCCAAACTCGACATCCGAAGTGAAAAATCCAATTATGGTTAAAATGAATATTTAAACTTCGTATAACAATGTAATGTAATAATCTTACTTATGTGTATTTGATAATTTTAGTTAGTTAAAGATGTCGAATCGATTGCTAGTTTAAACGACGCGATCGTTGCTCAGGGTAACAGAGTAAGAGAATTGAAAACTGCTAAAGCAGATAAGGCGTCGATCGATTGTGAAGTTAAAGATCTTTTGAGTCTTAAAGCAAAATACAAGTCCATTACGGGACAAGATTGGAAACCAAACGGTGCTCCGCAACATCAGAAAAGTACAGCCGATAAGGTATTCTATTATTAACAGTACATTGTACAAATGTTAATTGTATAATTAATTGCATAATTTTATAATAAATCAATGTTACATTGTAGAAATCTAATGATAATGAATCAGCAAAGAAATCAAATAAAGATACAGTAGCCCAGGAGAATAAAGTGAGAGATGAAAAAAGCAGTAAATCCAATAAGTCTGTCGTTGATTCGGAAATTAAGCTTCTTCTAAGTCTTAAAGGAAATGATAAATCGGTAAAATGGATAAAGATTGTAAAAGCAAATCTGTTCGAATAACTTAAATAGTCGTATTGCATATATTTCAGACGATTTTCTTAGAATTATTTGAATAAAATAGTTGTTTTTTTTTTTTTTTTCCTTAGGAATTGGATAGTGAGGACGATCCAGTTGGAATAATAAATGAAAAAATTATTGCTCAAGGTAATAAAGTTAGAGATTTGAAGAGTGCTAAAGCAAATAAAGCTGCGATCGATGCAGAAGTGAAAACTCTTTTAAGTCTTAAAGAGGAATACAAGCGTGTGGCAGGTTTGGATTGGAAGCCAAAGTCTAGTAGTCCTGCGGCAGCAGGTTCATCAATGAAGGACGACGACATTGCTTTAGCGCACGAAATAAAAGAGCAGAGCGATGTAGTGGGAAATTTGAAGGCGAGCAAACCCGATTCAATCACTATAACCAAGGAGGTTGCAAAACTCGTTGAATTGAAATTGAAATTTAAAGCTCAAACGGGAAAAGATTGGACACCCTCGGTACTTCTTAATGCAAAACCTAAGCAATCGAAATGCGAAAATAGTTCCAGGATTGCCGAACAAGGTAATAAAGTTAGGGATTTGAAGGCGGCCAGAGCTGGGAAGGAAACGATTCAGCAAGAAGTTCAAAAACTTTTATCGTTGAAAGCCGAGTATAAGGAAATTTTTGGAAAGGACTATGTCCCTACGGGAATTAACGATTCTGCTGCGCGCGAGCCTAAAGCCAAAGCCAACAAATCAGAAGACACTAAGGCAAAAGGCCAAGTTAAGAGGGTCGATGGTAAGAATGAAGTGTCATTGTCGAGTAAAGAGAGCGAGAGTGGCAAAACGGGAACGAGACTGGGCCTTGAAGCAAAAAAAGCCGATAATTTATCAGACTGGTATTCGCAGGTAATAACTAAAGGAGAAATGATCGAGTATTACGATGTCTCGGGTTGTTACATCCTTCGCCCTTGGAGTTTCGCTATTTGGGATATTATTAAAGACTTTCTGGATAAAGAAATTAAAAAATTAGGCGTGCAAAACTGCTACTTTCCCATGTTTGTTAGTAAAGCGGCGCTTGAGAAGGAAAAGGCGCATATAGCCGATTTTGCACCGGAAGTTGCTTGGGTAACCAAGAGTGGTAATTCAGATTTAGCGGAGCATATAGCCATTCGGCCGACATCGGAAACCGTCATGTACCCAGCATACGCCAAGTGGTTGAAATCTCATCGCGATCTTCCATTAAAACTTAATCAATGGAACAATGTTGTGGTGGGTGTTGTTGTTGTTGTTGTTGTTGTTGTTATTATTATTATTGTTATTATTATTATTAATAATTTTGACTTTCATCTTCGTTATTAGAAACGGTATTTAATATCAGTTGGAATTATAATTCTTTTTGTTTTTTTTCTTCTTCTTCTTCTTCTTCTTCTTCTTCCTCTCGTTATAGAGGTGGGAATTCAAGCATCCTCAGCCGTTCTTGCGCACCAGAGAATTTCTTTGGCAAGAAGGTCACACGGCATTCGCTAATAAAGCCGAAGCCGACGAAGAAGTGCTAAAAATTTTGGATCTATACGCACAAATATATGAATATTATCTGGCCGTGCCGGTTGTCAAAGGACGTAAGACGGAGAAGGAAAAGTTTGCAGGTGGAGATTACACGACGACGGTTGAAGCTTTCATTTCGTCAAGCGGTCGTGCCATCCAAGGAGCTACCAGTCATTACTTGGGTCAAAATTTCTCCAAAATGTTTGATATTCAAGTGGAGGGCACAGCCGAAGGTGGCGAAAAGACCTTCATTTATCAAAACTCGTGGGGTATTACAACGCGCACCATTGGAGTTATGATAATGGTTTGTTAAACGGCAAATTTCAATACATTTTGCTAGGCCGCCGATATTATCTATTCTACAAAACAATTGTGCCACATCGCGTATTTTAGGTTCACGGTGACGACAAAGGTCTCGTTCTACCTCCACGTGTAGCTTCCATTCAAGCTGTGATCGTTCCCTGCGGCATTACAGCATCCACCACTCAAGAGCAAAAGGAACGACTTTTACGCGAGTGCGATAAATTAGAGGAGGAATTGAAGAGAAGTGGAAAACTTAGAGTCAAAGGCGATTATAGGGATAATTATAGTCCTGGATGGAAATTCAATCATTGGGAATTAAAAGGAGTACCGGTGAGAGTGGAATTGGGACCGAAGGATTTGGAGAAAGGTCAAGTTACGTTCGTGAGAAGGGATAGTTCGAATAGGATAGTCGCCAGCAGGAGCAATGCTTACGATTTCCTTTTGGATTTATTGGATGAAATTCAGTCCAACTTGTTTGTAAAGTTCGTATAATTGTGAACGTATCAATCAATATGAATTTCATTGTTAATTAATACCTTCCCTATTCCATTCCCTATAAAATTCTCTACAGAGCGAAGGCGGATTTAACGGAACATATTAAGCGAACGAACGAGTGGAAGGAATTTTGCAGCCATTTGGATGGGAAAAATCTAATCCTTGCCCCTTTCTGTGGAAGAATCGAATGCGAGGATAAAATTAAAGCGGATAGCGTCAGGTATGATGAAACACCACGATTAATCGATTAACCGATTGATCGACAAGCCGTGGATCAATCTCCTAATTTATGAATTTTGAATTTTAATTTATGAAATGTATTTTTAGAGAGGATACTAACGACGATGCGGGTGCACCATCAATGGGAGCTAAAGGCTTGTGCATACCGTTTGATCAGCCCGAAGGAAGCGTCGAGCAATTAAAAGGACTGAAATGTATTCATAATAGTTGCCAAGAAAAGCCCAAATTTTATACTCTCTTTGGCCGTAGTTACTAGGATATTTTCATAACAAATTGTATTGGCATCGTTTCTTTAAATGTAATAAAAAATATTTTTTAAACATTATAACTGTCTGTCATGTCATTATAAACCGAGCTGCCACGCGTCAGGCGTCATGCGTTGTCGCGTAATTCCTCGTAAACTTCGTGGGCACTTCGTGGGTGGAAGGGTCGGGAGAGCCTCGTAACGGGTAAAATGTCCGTGTCCTCGCCTCCCTACAACATTCGAATCGAGCGCACATAACATTCGCTTGGCCATTAAAGCGAAAGTCCAATGAGACAGAGAGGGGCAGAGAGCGCCTGCAGCGCTTTTCTCTTTCCTGTAATGCGTGCGACAATGTCGATATTACAGATTGTAAATAGAGAAATGGCCATGCGATTGAGAGGCAGCCGAACCGATCGAGACATGTGTTATTGTTGAAGAGCTTTGGCCGGTGTTGTTTACGAAAATGGAAAAAAAGCAAAAGACGAAGCCTCACATTATTATGAAGGAACACGGGATACCGAATGTAAATTTACTTTCTATTTTTATCATAATATGTTATTGTGGCGCTAATTTGAAACTGTTTTGTGCCTAGGCTTTCGAATATGATAACCTGTTACACTTGAATGATGATTGGAGCATTGATAAATTTAAAGAGGTAACGACATTCCCTTCCCACGCATGCACTGATTTTTCTAAATTAATAATCAACAATGCGTGTCGTGCGCTTGAAGACATTTCAGATAAATATAGTGAACGAGAGTGAAAATAAGTGCGAATTGGAGTTTGACTTGATTGGATGCTCTTGCGCTTTAGCTAATACGTATCGAAGAATTTTATTGAGCGAGGTACCATCGATGGCTATAGAGAAAGTATATATGTTAAACAATACTAGTTTAATACAAGACGAAGTACTTGCTCATAGGTAATCAACTAATTTTTCATTATAATAATTAATTGGCGAAAAATAAGGATCAAAGAATAATGAAAACGATGAGAAACGACGTTGAGTGGCTTAATGGATTTGAAATTTTTGTCAATTTTTCTCTCTTAGATTAGGGCTTTTACCATTGAAAGCGGATCCAAGATTATTCGAATATCCTTCGAAGATCGTTAACGAGGAGGAGGAAGTCAGCGACCAAGATACATTGCGTTATGAAATTAAAGCGGTGTGCAAATGGAATTCACAAGCGCCTAAGGATTCCAGAAGACCCGATGACATTTATACCGGCAATAATGGTAAAAATATAATACGTATAAACGATAAGATATATGGCTCGTCCGACTACAAGATGGCGATCTTTAATTAAATTACAGTTTACAGTCGAGATATAAAATGGGTACCCATTGGAAAGCAAAGCGAATTGTATCCACAGGGGGAAAAGCAATTTAGCATGATAGCGGATGATATTTTAATTTGTAAAATGAGACCGAATCAAGAGATTCATGCATTTATGCACGCTGTGAAAGGTATAGGCAAAGATCATGCAAAATTTTCTCCAGTTGGTAAGTTATTATCCAGAAATTTTATAATCCAATTTTTCAAGACGTTGAAATTTTCAAATTGAATCTTAGCTACCGCCACATACAGACTTCTACCAAATATTCAAATCGTTAAACCAATAAGAGGAGAAATGGCGGAAAGATTTAAAAATTGTTTTAGTCCAGGTGTGATAGAATTGGTAGAAATTTCAAAGGGCACGGTAGAAGCAAAAGTTAAAGATGCTAGATACGACAGCTGTTCTAGGAATGTATTTCGTCACGATGATTTGAAGGACTGCGTTCAATTAGGAAGAATACCCGATCATTTTATATGTATACGGCAATACTATTAAGACAATGTTTAATTTACATTTCAAAAATATTTATAATGTCGATTGATTTAATTATTCATTTTTAGTTACTATCGAATCAGTCGGGGCTCTACCATCGTCGGTATTGTTTATCGAGGCTGTCAAAGTGCTGAAAGAAAAGTGCAAAACATTTATAGAAGAACTGGACAATATCGATTGACATAGACACAGAGCGAGTGATTTTTACTATCGTAAATGAATACTTATAAATTATAAATAAAAATAAATATTTATGTAATATATTTTACTCGACTCTCGATGCTCAATTCTCCACTTAACTCCCAATTATTAAAACAATTGCTCTTATCTATTCCAAATCAACAAAAATAAAAGTACGCTGTAAATTTATGGAATTTCAAATTACGTATTATGCATATTTTCACATAGTTGCGCCAATGTAAAATTCTTAACTTACAACACTACAACTATAATAATTAATATAGATTTTCATGAATTTTATTAAATAACACAGTCGATATATTGAAAATCTCATGCCGTTGTAAGAAAAGAGAGAAATTTCATAAGAAACGTATGATTTTTCGAAAGTTTACGAAGAAACTTGAACAAGTTTAACAATTTTATTATACATTTTTTAATGAGTTTTCGCACTATTTATTTACATCGGTCGTTCAATCAATCTAATCGAGCATCAAATGATTAAACAATTAAATTTTCAAATTGAATTGTCATATCGATCGATCCTTCGCTTCTGTCGATATTTAAAATATTCTTTTGCGTCAAGACTTTTACGTCACATGAGAATGCGCTCGTAAGGTTTTTTGGCGCCAATTTACGCGCGTAAACGACATTAAAGAGGTTCCGGTAGAGATTGTAAAGGTTTTAATTTCATTTTTAAATTATAATATCGATAAATTGCAAATGTAATTGTAAATATAATTTGAATTTTTTACGATAAAATGGCCGTAAATACGGGACGATATTATCGTGACAAAACGGAGGATAAGAAAAATTTTTTATTACGGCAGGAAAATGTTCCAAGGTTAATAATATTTAGACTTTTATATTCTATTCATAGTAAACATTGGTAAATGCTCGGTAAGAAAAAATGGATTTTACATTTCATTAGTTATGATAATATTTGATTTTATAGAGAGAACACTACCGAAGGCAGATTATATCAAATTAAAGAGAACAACCATATCGATAATCTTTATGGCTTTCACAAAGTTACGGATGTTAAAGAGAGAATTGGATTTCTTTTTAATATGCACACGGTAAATTTCTTTTATTTTAGGTGTTAATTAAAATTGTATTATCGACAATTGTTTTGTGCGGTAGATGATTGTCAGAAGGATTGCTTTTTACTTTTTTAGACAGATATCGTCGAAGATGATAAGCAATTGGTCACTGGCGTTGACTACTATTTTCTCGAAGAAGACGGTACTAGATTTAAAATTTCTTTACCATATTATCCCTACTTTTATATATTATGTCAAGATGGGACGAATCAAGAAGTAATTACATTTTTACAAAAGAAATACAGTGGCATTTTACTTAAAGCCGATATTGTTACCAAAGATGATCTTGACTTAGTACGCATGACTATTAATATAACTTATTTTATTTTAAAATGAAATAACAATAATTATTTATATCCCATCTTATTTATAGCCAAATCACTTAACTGGCTTAAAAAGAGATTACGTCAAACTGTCATTTACCAATTCTCTAAATATGTTGAAATTAAAGAAAGACATAATGAGCACGGTTAAAGTGAACAAGGAGCGTGAAAAAAGTAACACTCATTATACAAAATTATTGGCTGAAACTTTTGAACATCACGAACAAAATCATAGAAAAATTATCGATAACATGGATAATATTCTCGATATAAGGTAAAGAAGATTTGGCCCAAAATATCTTAAATTAAGAGAGTTAATTTTGTATCAATCCATATCCCTGTATGAACGTTACTACTCACAGAGAACACGACGTACCTCATCATATAAGGGCTTCCATCGATTTGGGGATTTTCGTCGGTGCTTGGTATTCGATAAAGGCTCGAGGTCCAAATCAGCCACCGATCATCACCGCAAGACCGGATATCGTGGAACCACCCGAACCAGTTATTTTAGCATACGATATCGAAACAACCAAACTACCATTAAAATTCCCGGATGCAAATACCGACCAAATAATGATGATATCTTACATGTTAGATGGACAGGTAATTAAAATATAATTTCAACGATTGATCTAACGATTAATATAATGCGAATAATCAATGAAGGCAAATGCTTTCATTTTAACGACAGGGGTACTTGATAAATAACAGAGAGATAATTTCCGCTGACATCGAGGACTTTGAATACACTCCAAAACCAGAGTTCGAAGGATTTTTCACCGTCTGGAATGAACTAAATGAAAAAGCAGTCATTAATAAATTTTTCAATCACATTAATGACGTTAAACCACACATATTCGTAACGTACAATGGTGACTTTTTTGATTGGCCATTTATAGAAACTAGAGCGGCTGTTCACAATATAAACATGAAAGACAGAATCGGATTTGCAAAAAACAAAGACGGCGTATATTGCAGTAGACCTGCGATGCACTTGGACTGCCTCTGCTGGGTAAAACGAGACTCCTACCTTCCGGTGGGCTCTCAAAGCCTCAAAGCAGTAGCAAAAGCGAAATTACGCTACGATCCAGTGGAATTGGGTAATAATTTGATCATTCGTTGATTCTTTACTATTTCACTCGTCCACCTCTGGTAACTGACTAGCGGCATCATGAATTATCGACAATTTGCAAGCATAAGATATACATACATACATCAATTTCTCTTATGCTCTACTATCTCTTTCTCCAATGCATGTTAATAAGTAGTGCGCACTTTATTTGATCTATGTATTCATCGTAGCACTAATTGTACTTCCTTAAAATAATTCATTACCTTTTACTTTTCCGTACTTTCGCTATCGAATTCAAAACAGACTCGCAATCCTCTCGTGCGATTCGTCTTTATATCAACAGAAACGATCCACAATCGCAATTAAAAGTCTACAATTAGTATAGAAACTATAACCGATGGTTAAGCTAATGGTAAAGCAAAGCCGTTGCTCAGATATTCTTTACCCACGTACTTATACCTCAACCCCTTCCGTTGAACAATTTCCCTATTCTTTCCGTAAAAGCCTGATCATCTCAATAACGAATATTCTCATGATCAATGTTTATTATTATTAATCAGATCCGGAGGACATGTGCCGATTAGCTGCAGAAGAGCCCGAAATAATGTCAAATTATTCCGTCTCCGACGCAGTCGCAACTTTCTATCTCTACCAGAAATACGTTCATCCTTTTATCTTTGCCCTGTGTACCATTATTCCAATGGAGCCCGAGGAGGTATTGAGAAAAGGCTCGGGTACACTCTGCGAATCTCTATTAATGGTTCAAGCTTACAGAGCCAACGTCATATTTCCCAATAAACAGGAAACGGAATTGAGCAAGTTTACGAAGGACGGTCATCTGCTGGATACGGAAACATACGTCGGTGGACACGTCGAGGCACTGGAGTCTGGAGTTTTCCGGGCTGATATTCCCTACCGCTTTAAAATCGTGCCAAGTGCCGTAGACAACTTGATCGAGGGAATCGAGAAATCACTCGAGTACGCGATTGAGGAGGAGGAAAAAATTCCATTACAAGAAGTGACAAATTTAGACGAAGTTATTCAAGAGATCAAAGGTTTAATTCGTTTATTTATTTAGTATTTGCTTTTCTTTTGTTTTTCTTTTTGTTTTCATTAAGAAGTCGAAAGAAAAAAAAAGAAAAAAAGAAAAACAAAAAAACAAAAAAACAAAAGGATGAATATATTAATTTTGATGCATATAATAAATATTCTCAGGTTGAACTATGTTGATTTTATTTAATTGAGCCTGTAAACTATCTATTTTTTTTTTTTTTTTTTTTCATAGGCAAACTGGAATCCTTACGCTCACAACCATTGAGAACGGAAAAGCCCGTCATCTATCATCTGGATGTCGGAGCGATGTATCCAAACATTATCCTAACGAATCGACTGCAGCCCTACGCGATGGTCGACGAATCAATATGTGCGACCTGCGACTATAACAAGCCCGGGGCCTTATGCCAACGCAATATGGAATGGATGTGGCGCGGCGAGTACTTGAAAGCCACCGCTGGCGAATATCAGCGTACGCAGCAACAATTAGAAATGGAAAAGTTCCCGCCCTTGATACCGGGCGGCAAGCGCCGAGCTTATCACGAGCTCAGTAAACAAGATCAGGCCACCTACGAGAAGAAACGACTCATGGAATACTGCAAACGCACGTACAAGAAAGTCAAGGAAACGAGGATCGAAGAACGCATGCAAACAATTTGTCAGAGGGAAAATTCGTTCTACGTCGACACGGTGAGGGCATTTCGAGATCGCCGATACGAGTACAAGGGCATGACGAAGCAGGCCAAACAACAGGTAGGCAATCCCGCGCTGACGCATACCACAGCGTCGTACCACGGGTAAATGATAATTGAATTGCGATTAATATAATGTAACAGGTGGCCCAAGCCGTAGCCAATAAGGACGCCGCCGCGATAAAGTCGGCCAAGAGCCGGGAGGTCCTGTATGACTCCTTACAATTGGCCCACAAGTGCATTTTAAATTCTTTCTACGGTTACGTAATGAGAAAGGGCTCGCGATGGTTTAGCATGGAAATGGGCGGTATAGTGTGCTACACGGGGGCCCACATTATCATGAGGGCGCGAGAAATAATTGAGCAGATCGGACGACCGCTGGAACTCGATACCGACGGCATCTGGTGCATTCTGCCAGGAACGTTCCCCGACAATCTCGTCATAAAGACGAGCAACCCCAAGAGGCCCAAGATCGTAATATCGTATCCGAACGCGGTGCTGAATTTTATGGTGAAAGATCTCTTTACGAATCACGTTTATCACGAGCTTATCGATTCCGAAATTAAGGAATACAAGATACGAAGTGAGAATTCAATATTCTTCGAGGTCGACGGCCCCTACCTGGCAATGGTATTGCCCGCGGCTAAGGAGGAGGGCAAGAAATTGAAGAAGAGATACGCGGTGTTTAACTTCGACGGCTCGCTGGCGGAGCTTAAAGGTTTCGAAGTTAAGAGACGCGGTGAGCTGCGCCTCATTAAGATCTTCCAATCGTCCGTCTTTGAGTCATTCCTTAAGGGCAACACGTTGGAAGAGTGTTACGCCTCGGTTGCATTAGTCGCCAATTATTGGTTAGACATATTATACAGCAAGGGAGTAAACTTGCCAGATTCTGAGCTTTTTGATCTCATTTCGGAAAACAAGTCCATGTCGAAGAAGCTGGACGAGTACGGAGGGCAAAAGTCAACGTCAATATCGACGGCAAAGCGATTGGCCGAGTTCCTTGGAGATGAGATGGTCAAGGATGCCGGATTGGCTTGCAAGTAAGTCCCAAAGTTATGTAATAATATAAATGCTTTAATAGTTGAGATCTTTTTTTTTACAAAGAAAGAACGAAAGAAGAAGAAGAAGAAAAAGAAAAAGAAAAAGAAAAAGAAAAAGAAAAAAAAAGAAAAAGAAAAAGAAAAAGAAATAATGTGAGGTAGAGGAACGATTGCGCGTAACATTGTTGGCGGGAATTTATCAATCGTATTGCGCTGGCATTTATTATTTATTATTCGTTTGCCCGTTACCCATTTTAGGTACATAATATCAAAAAAGCCATTGGATTCGCCGGTCACCGAACGAGCGATACCTTTGGCGATATTCCAGTCGGAAATCGGCGTCACCAGGCACTACCTGAGAAAATGGCTAAAGGACCCAAGCATCCAAGAAATCGACATCCGCGACATTCTCGACTGGCAGTACTACATTGATCGTCTCGGCAGTTCCATTCAGAAGATTATAACGATCCCGGCCGCGATGCAGGGTCTATCGAATCCTGTTCCACGGATACAGCATCCGGACTGGTTGCACAAAAAGATGATGGAGAAGACGGATGGTCGGAAGCAGCGGAAGATTACGGAGATTTTTAAACTCGAAGAGGCGTCGAAATCAATTACGGAATCCGATGAAGAAGTTGACAATTCGACCGACTCGATACCCGATATTGAGGATATCGGATGTGGAAGCTCGTCCCGTAAACGCAATATTGCCGTGATCACTAAGAGGAAAAGAACCTTCTCGGAAGAGGAGAAAGAGATCCATGAGAGGGAAAGTAGCAGCTTAATGACGAATAATTGGAGAAAGGTCTTGGGAAATCCACCACCTGTGGGAACAACGGCGGTAATTAGTTTTTAAGATATATTGATTTTGATGGGGGAGAGGTGGGTGGTACCACTCCACGTATAATAAATATACCAAAATTCTTGGCCGACACTCACCATCACTGATTTTCGTACTAAGTTTTCGTACAATCGTCCCAATCGCTCGATTTTTGTATTATGTAAAAGCAAATGCAAATGAGTGTAATAATCCATCGGTATATTTGTTTTTCTATCGCTAATCAACGCATACGCAATGCTCCGGCCACTTGCACGATTTAACATAAAAGTAATTTTTAGGAAGAGAAAAATGCGTGGCTAGAATTTCACAAGGAAAAGTGGAAATATCAAGCGAAACAGAGAGCCGAGAGAAGGAAACTCAGCGCCACCAAACGTACCAAATTAAGTACATTTAATTCCGCTCCGGCCAAAGCTCCCAAGAATACAAATGCACTAGGTGGCTTTTTGCAACGCGCTCAACAAAAGCTTCTCGAAACTCCTTGGCAAATTATTCAAGTGAGTAGGGCCAAATGTTGAAGTACTGGCTCTCGCCCATTAATGTTGGCTAACAATTTTTCATAAAACAAACTTTTTTTTTTTCTTTTTTTTTTTTTTTTTCACAGCTATCCGAGACCAGTGAGCCTGGCCAGTTTCGCTTATGGATTCTGGTCGACGAAGAGCTTCATCAAGTGCGTTTGAACGTTCCAAGGATATTTTACGTCAATACTCGGCACGAAAGGCAGGAGTCCGAAAGCAGCAATGCATGGAAAAAATGTCACAGGATACTGCCTCGTTCGCGTCCTGTTTACAATTTGTATCGCTATTCGGTACCTGAAAAATTCTACAGGTGTCACAGTCAGTGAGTTTTCAAAATTACTTTAATCACGTACATCGGTCGATCCAACTTTCGTCACAGACGAATAACAACTAACGTCCCATTTTTATTGCAGAACATTAATGAATGACTTGATAGATCCCGACATCGAAGGAATTTATGAAACTCAAATGTCACTTGAATTTCGAGCGCTAATGCAACTCGGCTGCGTATGTACCGTCGATAAGCAAGCGATACCCGATTTACGGGACGGGACAGACATTTTTAACTTGGATCAATTAGCTTACAAAAGCATCGCTTATCAACCATACTTACGAAATGTAAATGCACTCTTACAAGCGAATTTAAAGTGTCGAGTGTCATATCATAACGCTAATGACATCAAATTAAATGTTTTAGATTGAGAAAATTAATAAAATATACTTGTATCATCATTGGTCTACGAGTAGTAAATATCGTAGAGCAATGTGGAGTTTATTTTTAACGTCGAAGAAAATGTGCCACATATTTGTATTGGATACTGTGAAAACTGATCGTATGCCTAATATGAATACACTTTACGTTAATGAAAGAAATAAAGCGTAATTTATACTGTATTGCTTATTTACCGAATTTATTTTCAATATTAAAGATTATGCTAATGAATGATTATTATGTGCTGTAGGATCGAGATGGGTGAAAATAACTTTGTCGACTTAATGCCGGAATCAATGCAGTTTCAAATACGAGTAGAGACGGACATTAAAGTTATCTATACGCAGCTACAAAATACTTTGAAAAATTACAAAAACGAGACCAGAGGCCCAACAATTGTCATGATACAATCTCCGATAGGTACATTTCATCGATATTAACATTCATTATAATTATGCCAATTGTCTCGTATGGTTTAGCATTAATTGTTTAATTTGTTTAGCCACGTTAACATTGACGAGTAAAATGCCATACCTAAACGAGTTCCCATTGGTAAAGATCTTTGTACAAGATTTAGACAATCTTTATGATACGCTCGATTGGCAAAGAGTTGGAACAAAAATAATGCTTCGCCATTATTTTAAAACGGAAAATATAATAAAGCATCTTGTCGAACAAGCCAGATATTTTTATGCGCCCATAGGAAATTTACCAGCCGATGTAATTATATTTGGTTCGGATTTGTTTTATGCTCGACACTTGTACAAAGCTAATTTTGTCCTTTGGTGGTCAGCGACAGAAAAGCCAGATTTCGGAGGCAGTGAAAATGACGACAGCAGGTTAATCGAAGCTTATATTAATCATTTAAGTTCGCCCTAATTCGCTTTTTCTTCAAATTTTTTTTTTTTTTTTTTTTTTTTTTCTACACTTCCCACGTAAAAAAAAAACAACGAAATTATTAACAATAATAACAATATCAACACGATATAATAATTAATTAGTTTTAATTTAAATTTGCTAATATTTTATATTTCTATGCAGGCTGTTGATCGATTATGAAGAATCTACTGGTTGTGTTATGAATAACTCTGGTGTTTATTCTAATATTTGCTTTGAATTAGACGTTATAAGTTTAGCCGTCAATGCATTAGTTCAGGCGAATCATATTAATGATATTGACGGTACAAGCTCGTTCGTTGCTTTTCATAATGCTCCAAAAGCATCTCTGCAAGTGAGTACTTAACAATTTACGCGTGCAGTGTGTGACTCGTGACGTATGTTCATCTATGGTAATTGCAGGATATAGCTACGAGTGATGGAACGACTGTAACGATACCAACTTACGATGAGAATGCATTGTGCGGTCCCGCTTTTCGCATTTTAAAGATTATGGTGGCCACGTGGTTAAAAGAAGTGAGCAATTTTAAAAATCGATACGCCGACTGTTTACTTATTCACTTTTACAGGTACAAAGTTACACACTATTATTTGGAGCCTTCAAAACAAAACAGAATAAAATTAAAAAACCATAAATTGTTCAGAGACCTTTTTCATTATTTATAATATTTTTTTACAGATGGCTACGTTCACCTTTATCTTATCTATACGATCCAGCTCTACGACGTATTCTGCACAATTACTCAAAAAAATTATTCGTACAATTGATTTCAGAAATGCAAAGGTTAGGCGCGATAATGATATTTGCCGATTTTACCAAAATCATATTAAGTACAAAAAAGAAGGATGTAAATGATTCGTATAGTTATATGCAATATATTATAAGTTCGATTGCCAATAAAGAAATATTTCATAGTATTCATTTTGATGTCCGTCATTGTTGGGAGTATATTATTTGGTTAGATATGGTAAGTAAGAAAAATTCTTTGAATAAAATAGTTTCTTATACTCGTGCATTTTTCTTGTCGATAGTCTAATTATGCTGGTGTGAGGACGAAGCAAGAAACCGAGGAAATCGAGCAATCGCAAGATAATAATAAAGTATCGAATCTAACAATTACATCGAAACTTTTTCGCTTTTTTTTTTCTTCTTCTATAAGCATTTTAATATTTTTCCTTATGTTCTTAGGCAGAATTTCATATGAGCTGGAGCATGATAGAGTATATACCAGTTGAAATGTGTCAATTCGCATTTAATAAAATAATTTCCGAGTATTATTGTAAAATTTATACAGAATTGAAAAAAAAATCTCCAGATGAAGTAACGGCTATAGCAAAAAATCTTATATCAAGCGAAATATCCCAAAAACTTTTCCAGTAAGTGTTTTCGGTGTAATGTTATATCATACATATATATATATATATATATATGATTTACTTACGATTTTGTTTAATAAATATTCAGCTACGTGACTTCGATTCATAAGAAATATCCAGAAAAAGTTTTAACTATAGAGGAGCATCCAAATCTTGAATTCGACAACGATTCCACAAAAATGACAATAAATCCTGCCCTGGAACTGTCTAAAACTACATGCAAGGTACAATTGAATTTTCATTCATTCGCGAAGAATATTTTTCTATTAAAATATTATCTTTCATTTTTAGATCTTGTCATTAGATTCCCAGATAAAGGACGAAGTCGCCGACTTACATAGAAATTTGCTTCGATTAATTAATGTTGGTTGTTTTAGCGATAAGGCCGAATGGAAAGACACATGCGTATCCTTTATTTTACCAGAAGTATTATGTGAAAATTGTAATCACATTAGATATATCGACCTTTGTAAGGATAGTTATCAGGATGTCGAGGAAAACAAGTAAATATCGTTATAATATTATTGACAATGTTGTTATATTATCAACTTACATGTTAATCGTTAAATAATTGCATTTGTAGTAGGCATATTTGGAAATGTCCACAATGCGAATTGGCGTATGACAATGATCAAATAGAATTCGCTTTAATTGATATTTTGAATCGCAAAAGTATAGGCTACGTTCTACAAGACCTACAATGTTTGAAATGTGGCGAGGTTAAACAAGATAATGTGAGCCAACACTGCTCTTGCTCAGGATGTTTTAAAACGTTGATAGCAAGAGAAAAGTTATTAAGAACGTTAAAGATATTTTGCTCGATATCTTCAAAATGTCAAATGTCTATTTTAGCAGAAAGTATTGAATTTATGCTGAAAAATACAAAATAACGATTGCTTAGAAAATTATTGTTAGGGAAATATATTTGTATATAAAAATTTTTTTATCGAGTAAATTAAATGTATGTAAGTTATTAAAAACACCTTTTATTTAATATCTCTAAACATTACATACAAGACGATCTATTTACTGGGTTGTAAAGGAGTTACTTCAATGACGGGATCTGAAAAATACAAAGATAATTATTTAAGATAATTTTTTCAGCTGTACTTATTAAATTACACGTCTTACCTGGGAAATTAAATTTGGGAAAACTGGACAAATCGGTTCCGTCGCTGCCACCGTACTGTTTAACTAGTTTCTCTACTTCTGACTTTAATTCTTTCTGATCATCTGGAATTTTCATCTTACCAGTTCTGAATATAAGAGAAATTCATTACAAAATCTAAATTATTTATCGATCGTTAAATTAATTTACAAATTAGGTTGGTAAATGAAATCAAGGACATTCTTAAGGTACTCTAAAATTTTGTGTTCTTTTGCAAATTATCTATTACTTTACAACAATCATTTCACTCTTTGCAATGAAATATGAAAAAACGCGATGAGAATAATTTATAAACTCTTGTCTAACATTTAAACTACAATTTTAGTAACGTTAATAATTCCTTATTTATTTCATTTAATCATCATAAATGACCATTTGCATGAAAAGTTGCCTTCATTGCCAAATGGGTATTGCATAAATGAATAAAAAGAAAAATATAATGCGATACAATTAATTCAACTTACGCGCTTAGTGCCTTGTATTCTTTAATTTTGTCAAGGAATAATTGTTGAATCGGATCGATAGCCTTTTGTAATACTGGAGCAAAAACGCCAAAATTACGATTCCAGAGCTTTGGAATAAATTCCACTATGCGTCTCGACAGCATTTTAGTTTTTAATAGCCTGTAATGTAAGCAATTTCTAATAAATGAGAGTAAACGTTACATAACTACTACACGTAAATCACTTATAGTTACAATATTCTATTATTTATAGGTTAAGGGGCTATCTCAATCTATCGAATTCTCCGATAAATTCGTTAATTACATGCCGCACAGTAAAGAAATATATCAACGATCGAATTGTGCGCCTTTAATGCGTGAAATGAAAAATATCTGGATGCTCTTGTTTTTCGAAAAATATTTTGAAAAAAAAAATTAAAATACCTACGATTCGCTCTCGCCGAATGTCCTCAAAATATATCAGCTGCTGCTCCGTGGATAAAAAGACAATGGCGCGAGTGTGTCGGTGTCACGGTCGGCAAGGTAGGACAGAATGTACTGTCAGTGAGACGGCGGCCCGATGCTCGGAATACCCGAAGGAAAGTGAAAGGGGCCACCGACGATAAAGGCGGCGGGATCTGTGATATTATAGTTGCAAAGCACTGCTGCCTCTTGCGAATGATTATCGAATCTGATCCAGAGCGGCTCCAGGGGCCCAAGACGAGGACAAAGAGTAGGAAGAAGAAAAAGAGGAAACACGTGCTATAGGAATACGAATGATGAGTGGTGAGTGGTGAGTGGTGAGTGGCGAGTGGCGAGTGGCGAGCGGTGAGTAGGGAGAATATAAAAACACAAGGCCACTCGCTACTCACTACCGGTTGGCACAAAATTGACGGATATATCGACGAAGAATGGATCGACGAGTTTGCGCGATCCTCTAGATTTGATAAACATCCGAAATATATTTCGATTGATATTTTGAATTATAAGAGCGTGGAGTACTGCCGTACGATACTCTCAGTCGAGTCTTTACAATTTTCTTTACATGTGGTGCGAGATTTTTCACGAGAAGTCGCAGATAATACTGTGATACATCCATATTCGTATATTTTTTGGATCAATTGCATTAAAGCAAATATTCTTCTTAATCGATCGACGCTAAACGATTCTTCTTTCTAATAAAAATAGTAAAATTTCAAGATAATTACATACGCGCAACCCACGCAAATCGTACTATCCGAATTCTTATTAATTCTACAAAATATCACTGATAAGCAGAAAATACCAATCGTGTGAATTAATTAGACATTTGTACAATAGGAACAAAAAAATATTCGGCCTCACGACAATATCAAATACAAAAGTTTCGACCAAAGCTTAAGCTATGGTATACGTAATGCTAAGAATGAACTCGTTTGCTGTCTCCTGGGCAAAAAATCCAAGCTAGTCAAGCTCTCTTTATTTTTCATCCGAAATAATTAAGGAGAAAATAGTTCCTTAATTATTTGGCTGCTTCTACGAGCGGAGAATTTGGCACGGCGGGTGGTACCGGCGGACGATGAGTTTCTCTATACAGAAAACAGCTGGCGAGTCTTCGATTACCTCGTTCATGCTCTTTCCTTCCCAAACCTTTCGATTTAACTTAGCATAGTAGTTAAACGTCGAGAGAATTAAGAAATATTAATGGCAAGGATTATCCGATAGCGCATATAGATCTCGAGGTTTCGATAAAGCGAAACCTTTATAAAGTTAATACAAGGAAGTACGGGAAATAATGGAGATATTAGAAGACGATTTTTTGTTCGTTCGTTCGTTTGTTTATTTGTTTGTTTCTTTCTTTCTTAGTTAGTTAGTTAGTTAGTTAGTTAGTTAGTTAGTTTGTTTGTTTGCTTGTTTGTTTTTTATACAACTATGTAAGGCACTCACGTGAATGAAGAATGCGAACAACGTGAACTGGAACTTTTTAATCAAAATTTTTTTAAACATAAGGGTTTTGAAGGATGCCAGACATCGGGAGGAGCGTACGAGGAATAATAAAAGAAGGAGTAACTTTGGTACGATCGTCGGTGCTGTCATATCTTGCACGAAGAGAACGGCCAACAAAGAGTAACGTCGTAGAAATCACGCCAACTCTGCCAAAAATAAGAGCCTTGCAATGTTTCATGCTGCGATCGATAATTGCTCAAATTTCCATGATACTCTCACATTATTAATCCACGTAAATTTAATAATAATTGGAATTTCATTTTTCAACCGGCAGTTTCATGAACAAAATTGTAGGCATTTTTTTTTTGTTTTTTTTTTTTGTTTTTTTTTTGAATAGAATTTAATAATAAGAATTTAATATTAAGAAATTTTATTTGCTATTGTTTTGTTTATTTGAAATCGTCGTACTATTTGATAGTATGTTTCTATTTTCTCTTCTTCTTATCTTTCTTTGTCCCTCCTCTAAGTAATTTTATATCTACATAAATACAATTTCACATCGTCCATCAAGAGAGATTATGATTATTAAAATAGATATTATTAATTATCGAGCTTATATTTATGTTCACTATCACAAATATATAAATTCTTCCGTCAACGGAAGGAAAAAATGCAAGATCGACAGATACATTTCCGATTGTCCGTACCCTTTTTGCGAAGCAGTCAACTGCTTTCAAAAGGCTCCCCTAAATGCCCTTTTCCCAGGCTTCTTAGACCAAGAAAAAAAGGACACTCTTCGTAGAAAGAAACACTTTGTTTTGAGATTCGAGAAATGTCGGCCGCATCCTAACCATTTTCTCAGTGACATTATGCTTACAAATTCTAACACGAGAAAGACACTAAAATACCAAACCTACGCATCCGATTATTAATAAAGAATAAAAATAATATACCCGTTGCTTTGCACGTAGCAATGTCCATTAGATTAATTGTAGAAATTCTTTCAAAAAATTAATTTTTACCGGAGGCCAATAATACGCCGATGGCACTTTTATTATTTCATTACGCGCAGTCTTATTACCTTGCCGCCGATAACCGCAATTTTACGAACGCTGCCCAAAATCAATTGCTCTTACTAAAAATTAAAAAAGCGAGCCGAACACTGAACCAAAATAATAATATGTTCCTTGAAGTCAAAATTAAATGCAGTTGCGAAGCATAAATGGAAAAAAAATTTAGCAATTTACGTGACCGGTAAATCCACGATAAAAATTACTTGCCCCTGCTTTCAAATTATTCTAAGCCGTTACACAAAAAAAAAAAAAAATAAATAAATAAATAAATAAATATAGGCAAAGGTAAATTATGCGATAGCAAAGCTAATGAATCAAAACAAATAGAGTTAGTTACAAGCCTATAGTTTAATGGCATTCACAGAAAGCATAAAAAATGATGATCTTTAGTTTGCAACCTCATCTACAGTTTCATTCTCTCTCTGTGTGCGTGTTTGCGCGCGCGCGCGCGCGCGTGTGTGTGTGTGTGTGTTTTTGATTTATGAAATTTTTAAGGGTATGCCTGTACCAAGAGAAAAAACACCTTAAATATTGAACTTTTAAATTGTTAATAGACAAATATTATGACAGAAATATTATTGTAGACATAAAAAAAAACACATCGTCCTTTAATAACCAAAAAAGGATTATTCTCATTTGTACATATAAATTGAATTGATATATACTTAGCTGCCAATAGTCAAGATTTATACTCAACATAGACTTGATGAGAAAGTAATTTACTTATCAACTATACTATTAACTTAAATCTGTAACGTTGTGTCAGAATTAATATCATTTCTTACGTTCCTTTTGTTTTTTTGTTTTTGTTTTTTTTTGTTTTGTTTTTGTTTTTGTTTTGTTTTTGTTTTGTTTTTGTTTTTCATCGGATTCAACGGATCAAGTTTTCTACGTCTACGATAATTTCAGAAAAAGTAATTCATTCAAAATGTATTTAATCAATATTTTTAAAATAGTACTTTTGAAATTACGTGACTGCCAGTCTATGAATTCACGGATTTATGAACATAATGATACAGTAAATGAACACGTAATCCCCTTCCTTATCGAAAGTCGAGGATACAGAAAGCGTAAGCTTATTTTGGAATCCGAGCACCGATACGCTTTAATATCATGTAAACTATACAGAACAAAATGAATAACAAAACGGATAATCATGTCTTTATTAGTAAAAATATTTGATCCGCTTGGGCTTGTTGGATTTACTATCATACAACCTGAAAATATGAGGCAAAAATTATGGGCATTAAAGTTTGAGCGAGATTAGTTGGTATTACATAAAATTCATATATAACGACAAATCCTTTGTTGAAGATGATATGTTAACTTTACATTCAATAATATACCTTATGCTTACACTTAAAAATTTACACGTTAATAATCATAGTTATTAATAATATCAGCAACTACAACAGCGCCAATAATAATCTTAATAATGATAACAACAACAACAACAACAGCAACAACAACAGACACTTGGGATTTCGTGGGAGCTGCGTTAATGCATTCTAATCGATATAACCCGCATACGTAAATCCTTCATCAAAGTAAAAATAAAAATTTACCGAGTAATTATTTCGTGCTAAAAATGTGAAGAATGAACGTTGAGGGAACCATAACTAGACTTTTTAGAAAACTATACCATTAACTTAGCATATAATGCAATAAAATATCAATGGCTATATTCCTTCAATCTCACAGTAATAATAAACCAGAAAATTTTATAGAATTAAAAATTATTTATTATAAATCATTTATTTAAAAAAAAATAAAAATATATATATATATATATATATATATATATATATATAAACTGCGTACAAAATTTTATTGTTGTTGTAATGACATTATTAACATTATTTATAAAAACATTAATGTACTTAATCGTTTAACAAATGTACACAATTATTTTAATAAGATTATTTTACGGTAGAAGAAGGATCGGGGTACGTTACAAGGCAAATTTAATCAGTTTGAAAATTTTTCGTGGACAACATTCGTGTCCGTTGATACCTTAACCAAAGTGTTTAATATTTTCCAATATTGCCACTAAAATCGCGAAGTGAAATGAAATTCTCTTAAGCGAGTAATTGATAACAGATTTATTTTTCTTATAAGATAAACTATGGTTTTATTCTTAATTGCTTTTAATCAACAAAAATAATAAAATAATAATTCTATTTTAGATATGAACGTAAATTCGAGAAATCGCTCGTTGATGAAACCATATGCGAGAAAATTTTCCGCCGACTTACTCAGAAATTATCGCAAAGAGGAAAATATGACGAAGACTAGAGAGTGTAGAGAGAGAGAGAGAGAGAATAAACGAAGCAGATGACGACTTACTTGCACTGACTTCAGCCTCGCAATTATGCAAACATTGTGTGGGCCTCGCATTTGCCGAAGTCGTACTATTCCTTTGATTGCTTTATCTAGAAATTCTTCTTTTTTTTCTTCATTTTGATCGTAATTCAATAAACTATTGTTAAATAACCAAGGGGAGCATTTCGTGTAGCTAATCTCTCATTATTGTTTAGCGGAAAATCT